AATCTCAACATTTATTTGGGTGGAGGATATGAAAAGCTCATTTTCAAATTCATAGAAAAGAAAAACAAAAATGTTTAAGGCCAACTATGGAAATATTCAAAAAGGATTAAAAAAATATTGAGAGCTATAATATATATCAAAATACAAAGCTATAGAAACTAAAATAGCATTTCATGGTACAAAAAGGCCAAGTAGAATAATAGACTAGAATAATTCAATTTTGTTAATGATAAAAATAGAAAGTTTTAAGAACTTTTAAAAATGTCTTAACATTTAATATTTAATCTTTAATATTTAATATTACATAGTAAAATTTTTTGAAAGTTTTCACAATAAAAATGTTCTATAACTTCATACAGAGACAGATGTTAAGCAGACTTACTGTGATGATCATTTCACATATATACAAAATACCAAATCATTAGGTTGTACACCTGAAACTAATACAATGTTACATGTCAATGATATCTCAATTTATTTGAAATAGGAAAACAATAGCATTTTTAAAGTTGTAGGGTGGAATACTGACAATCTTCATGTCTGGATTAGGGCAGGGAGAAAGAACAAGAAGAAAGAAAGAGAAGACTAGACTAATATTTCATAATATGGACAAAGCAATTTCCAAAAATCATTAAATATATAAATTACTATAAGCTAGTAGAATAAAAGCATACAACGTAAGATTGTATTGATATGAAAAAAACAATTTGCTAAAAGTAGGTACAAAACTTAGAAGCCCAAAATGGAAAGATTAAAATAATTAATCTTTCAAAATAAAAACCTATGTATAAAAATAAAACATACACAATAGATACGACAAATAACACCTGCCTTCGAAGTTACATTTTGCAATATATTTGTCAAATGTTTAATTTATTTTCGTTGTGTATAAAAAGTCCCCATGGGTTTACAAGAAGAGCAGCAGAGAACCAGTAAGAAAACAGAAGTAGGTTAAGAACGATCAATAGACAAAGAAGATGTGCATTTGTATACGTGCGGGAAAATGTTCAAACTGACTCACAACTAAGAAAATGCAAATTAAAAATGCACTGAAGTGTAATTTACTTTCCCATATCAAATTGGCAAAATTTTTTTAAAGATACATTTGTACTAAGGAAACAAGTAAAAGTCACTTTAAACTTTGGCTAAATAATTCCATGTTGAGGGAAGGAAACTATCCTACAGCAAGGCTAGCATACATAGGAAGACCTACACAACAAGCACATACGTGTACCAGAAGGATTCATTGAATGATTGCCCATAATAGTAAAAATCTGTAAGTAATTCAATGTGGAACAAAATGGTAGTGATCATGTGCATTTAGTACACTCATAGAGGAGCATTAGTGCATCCACACAACGTACTCTACAGCCTTTGTGAAGATAATGATCTAAGTCAATGGTTCTCAAACTTCAGTGTACATCAGAATTTCCTAGAGGACTTGTTAAAACAGATTCCTGGACCCAACACAGGAGTTTCTGATGTGAGGGGCCCAAGAATTTAAATTTTAACAAGTTCTCTCTAGGGATCACACATTGAGAATAACTAGGTTGGACCTGCACTTACTGATTTGGACATATGACCAAGTGAAAAACTGTAGTCATAGAATAATGGTTGTCATTATAATTTATTTAGTTAAAATGAGATATTAACATAATTGTGGAAATTCACTGAACAAGAACTACAAAGTGATACACCAAATTTGTTAATATTTACCTCTGGTAGGTGGATGGGAGAGTCAAGAGGAACATTCATGTTAAATATCCTATTGTTTAAATCACAAGAGGACTATATTTATAATTCATTTGTTTGTGATGTGAAAATAATGAGAAACAGAGAGGAAAGTGGATGAAAAGATAATAGGAAAGAAGAGAAGGAAGGGAAAAAGAAAAGAAAGAAGAGAAAGAGTGGGTAGTTGAATCCTGAAAATATGGATGTCTACAGGTAATATTAGGTTGGTAGATTTAGTGTTAAACCCTTACCTCCCCATGGATCTTTATAATAAAACCCTCATTCAATGAAGTAGTCTGAACATAGTTCTAGTTCTTCCAAGCTAAAAAAAGCTAATTAAGAGATGTAAAGACTCTGCAGAACATTAAAACACAAAAATACAGAAATTTGTTTAAATGCTTCCAATTTAACTAGACTATAGGAATGCTAATTACCATTTTATTAAATCTATTTCTTTTCATACTTAGACATTGAACTCTAGACCTTAAAGTCTAAGAATATATTACTTAAAAATAATAAAAATCCAACATGTTTATTATGTGTCAATATAATGCTTATTATTTGTCGAGTATGCATATGTATATGTGTGTATATATATACATACATGTACATATGTTTTATATACATGCATTGTATATAAAACATATGTACATATATATTTATAATATCAATTTAACTCTTGAGAAGAGTCTGTTATATAGTATGATGGTATGATGGTTACCATTGCCCCTATTATATAGATAAGAAAACAGAGCCCAGAGAGCAGAGAGGCTAAGGAACTTTCTCACAGTCACACTCAGAGTCACGGTGGATCCAGGGTTATATCCAGGCAGTCTGGTTCTAGGGTCATGATCTGTACTCTTGCATTTTACTGACCTCTCCTACAGTTATTGTATTTCCCTTGGGTATATCAGTATCCTCAGCCCATTACACATTCCCAAATGATGAATTTTTAAAACCATTTTTTAAGAAGAAAAAGCTCTTGTAGAATACTTCTGGAAATGGAAATGTTTCGGACTCTCATTGCAACAGGAATAGGCAACAGATTACAGAATCTCCTGAAGAGTTAAGAAAAACTTCTGTCTTCCACTGTATCCCCAACTATTACCACATTCAGGTGAGACAAAGCGGCGAGACAGTCATTCAACTTCATGGTATCAGCCAACAACATGCCCTTTAGAGTTCAGGCCAGGATGCCAAGGCCCAGCTATTCTGTTAGCCTCCCTTATACAGTTTGTTGACAAAGAATAGGTCTAGTTAATTTTTCCAACAGGCAATATAAACTGAAATTGATTCACCTGCAAACACCTGGATTACTTCTAAGAATGAAGAAATAATGATACTGAAGCAATAGATTTTTCTTAGGATCAGAACCGATTGAAATGGTACCAAACATGGAATTGCTTAGGAAAAAATAAAGAAGCCAATAATCTACTTGTTTCAGAACTTATTTTCAGTTGGCCAGAGATCAAGTACTGTACTCCAGATTGTGACTTATGAAAAGGAAATTGTATGAAGAAAATAGGAAATTTCTAATATTAAGGGAACATAGGATAGAAATAGATGGAACAGAATAGCTGGGACAACTTAAAAACAGATTAAAAGTTGAACTGTCAAGTAAAATTTGGAGTTCAGAAGATGCAGAATTTGGCACATGCACTGTGATGATAATGACAGCATCAGTGAATCTCCTCTTGCCAGAAACTGCCTCTCATAAAGCAGCTTGTGGCTTCTTTTAGGTTTGTTGAGCCCCTCCTATTTTGATCCCAGCTCTAATTCTGTAATTCTCATTCTATGTATTTAATTATAATCAAGTGATAACAAGACTGAATTTTCTTTGAGATAATATTCTTGAGTTAATACTATAATTTTTTACTGTAAGTAAAATTATGTTCACTGGACTCCATAGTTTTCTGTATAAACTTCCAAATAAAAATGCTTCATTATGTATCAACTTTTAACAATTATTGCTTCTGTCCTGTGTTTCATTTTGCAATCACTTTTTCTTCCAAGTCTAATTATATTGGGTTAAATTTTGTAGAACTCAAATTTTTAAGGCAATTTTATTTGTTAATCAATCTTCATTTAATAACAAATATTTTTGCAATTTAAGCCATTGCAAATTTAAATATTTTTCAATAATTTAAATTTTTTTTCTAGATTACTTTTTACTGTTGTCCATTTTACCCACAGAATAAGACAAATTTTACCATTTCATTTTTAGTTGTGATTTTATCAGTCTATTGGTTCATTTGTGAAGTTTGTATGCTTATTGCTTATTTTTATTTGTTCTTCAAGGGAAAAATGGTTAAGGGCAAAATGCCCTTAAGAATTAAGAGTTAAGGATGGTAGAGGCAAAAGACAAGGTTAAAATGTGGGCTCATAAAAATCTCCACATTACTCTTTACTTTCCCCTATGTAGTTGTGTTAGCTGGATTTCTTTCCATAACAGAAATATTTAAAATATGTAACTTTGCCTACCAAATAAGAGTTGTATTCCATCAAAGTGTTTGTGTTGATTACCAATGTATATTTTGAACTAGATAGGTCATGATAATAAGAATTGGTGATTAATAAGTAAAACATCCTGAATATTCCATATTCAAATTCCATGTATAATACATCATAGTACAAGCCTAATTGTATTACCTTACATCTAACCCTTACTTTCATTCTTACAAGCTTTTCTTTGCTCATTATTTATAATTTTAGTGCTCTTTGACAGTCTCAATTTCTGTTCTTATTAAGCTTCTGAAAGCTGTAGGTGGTTTTTTCTGAAAGCCTGGATGCATATAGCACCTGCAAACATTTTTTTCAAAGTTTTCTATGCATATAATCACTAGGAGTAAAGAAAGTGCATGTGACCTCCTGCACCACATTTTTCAGAACAGAATGCCAAGTGCTTGGCTGCAATTATGTCATCATGAAATCATGTTCCACACTTTAAAATAAACTTTCTGCATATGAATTGTTATCTTACTGAGATATTTCTGTCATCTCTTTAACAGCTTCCTTAGAAGTGTCTTCCAAATTTCTCACAATACAAAAACAAATTTCTTTTTTTGTTGTGTCCATGTGAATACTTCAAACTTGAATTCAGCAATCACTACCCTTATCCTGTGTTTCACACACACAAATGTGAACGTCACTCACAAACACACACATACATACTCATATTTGGCAAAATCTTCTAAATTAAACATTTTCCCTTTTTTACTTCAAAGACAAGTCAAAGATAATTTTCCCCAATGTCACGGTTCGGGACTCACCTGTGGACGTGGATGTCCAGTGACCAGACAGGTCAGTTCTAGGGTTTCTCCTTCCCGTATGGTATAGACCCTTTCCGAGTAGCGCTCCTCCTCAATGTTACAGGCCAAGCCTGAGTGCACAATACGAACCGTCGGGGGGGCTGTTGGGTGAGGAAGAGAGACAAGATACACAAAAAGATAAGCAAACTGTCTTCCCATGAATCATCAGTTATAAGAGCTTATCTTACTAGACTCTAACATAGTCAGATTCATTGGTCTTAACACTTTGAACATCTCCAAGGGATTTTGGAGCAGAGCTTCAATTTATCTCATATCATTAATCCATTCTGAAAAATGGCAAAGGGGGACAGGGTGGTAGGAGAAAACTGGTGACTCAAGAAATCACCATCATTACAAGACCACATGATAAAATTTGATTGTTAAATATAAGAGGTCTCATCCTTCCTGAAATCCAAAATTTAATATAGTAAAGGATGTTGTTCAAAAACTGGATAGGGCAAAAGAAAGAAGATCACTGGAAAGAAAAAAGGAATTTGATTAAACACATTTTCCTATTGATTTTATAAGCCCTGTGGTGCAAATAGGGAGCTTTGGAATTAGAAGATTTCATTATCAGAGGTCGAACACCAACTTAGTTTTTTATTACTGACTCCTTTATTGACATGAGCAAAAGATGATCATTGACTTAAGCCACGGAAGGAGGCAATAAATCATGAATACCTAAATATAATCTTCTCATTCAAGAGAGACTTAGTTCTCATGAAGCTATACAAATTCCTAAATGTAATTTTCTCCTACTTTGGTGCCACAATGACCAATAAAACTTGACCAGAATTCACTGAGTCACATACATCTTTGTAAACCCAGGAGATGCAAAAACCCATTGGGTCATGAGAAGTACATTGATAATATAGTAAGACACAAGATAATAAGATAATAAGACATGTTTCCTGTCACCAAGATTACTGTCAGCTACTAGTTCAAACTGGAGATCATCCCCATTTGTAAATTGAGCATTTTTACTTTTGACAAATTTGGGAGTGGAGAAGAAAGGGTTATTTTAATTAAAGGTAAATGGAAACCCTACATTTAAATGTAAAGGACAGTAATCTCAGAAATTTCCTGGTAGCAATCTGAGCCTAAACAGCAGTGACTATTGCTGCTTAAAAATTAATGTGAATATAATATCTGGATTTTTTTCATTTAACATTAAAAGGATCATGAACCCTATATATAGACTTTGAAGATGAACTTTGTGAATTCATGGTGGAAATGAAATGATTATAAGTCTAATTTGTGGGACAATTCCAACTGGGAAAAGTCTGTGTTCTGAAAGTAAAAATACACACACACACACACACACATATATATGTATGTTTATATATATATACACACATACACACACACACGTACATACCACACTTGGAATACATATATAAAAGTAAGATTCTAAGAGTGTGCTTTGCATATGAGATTGAACACAGAGTTATTACCAGAAATTAATATGCTCATGCACTGGTCTACAAAAAGTTTAGATAAACATGTATATCTACATCTATATTTATATCTGTATCTGTATCTAGTTTTCAATATTGAATGCTCTGTTTTTTAACACAAATGTATAAAACACTCACAGAGTTTAATAATTGAAAAATGCTTGTTTTGTTTTCCTTCTCAATTTCAAACAGAAACTGAGAGATATAAAAGCCTACCTATGGATAATAAAACAACTGGTTATTTCAGTTTCTTTCTGGATACCCAAGTAGAGTCCTACTCTTCAACCTGCATAGTTAGGAGCCCAATCTCAATACCAGTACCAAATGACATGTAAAAATTTCCAACAGGAGAATAAGAATATATTTTTAGAAGAGTATTTCTTGCATTCAATATGCATAATAAATTCCCCAGGAACTCCTTTAAAATACAGATTTCACAAAGACTTGTTATGTGTGCAGAAAACCCCTGGAATCCACATCTTAACCAAATACCCAACATGATGAGAATGACAGTGCTTATTAAAGATAATCAGAAAGAATTTTCTGTGTCTTAAAATATTTGATTGACTTCAAACACTTCAAGGGACAAAATGTCCTTTTTAAAATATTTTTTCAGGTCACTAAACTTCATGCTATGCATCATTTCACTGGTTTGAAAAATTAAATGATGCTTCAATCAAATGTTTTGTTTGGTGTATAAAACCAATTTATTAAAAATTTTCTACCATGTCTTTGAATTCTGTCTAGACATTGTAAACATTTGTTTAGTTTTATGATAATAGAAATCTTTATCTGTAGTATTTCTTTGGGTGTTCTGATACATTTCACACAATGTTTCCTACAAATCATTTCCTGTGGTGATCAAACTTCAACTTCAACTTAGATAAGTGATGCTAGAAAGCTAGTTAGTTTTAAATTCCTTTCTTACACAATTATAGAGGTTAACAAACTGATAACAATAAACCTTGCAAAATATGAATAGAAAATTATTAAATCAAAAAGATACATTTGTTACCTTGATATATATTTCTATGCCAAATTAGTTTAATAAGTGATCATATGCATGCTTATTAATATATCTACTATATAGCAACAGGACATCTTTTCTTGATTAACTTACACTTGTTATTTTGCCTTAGTATCCAATCAATGAATAGTATTGTTATTCCTAAGGTAAATCTTTCTAAAGCACCATTATGCTAAGAAGTAGCTTTATTTAAAACATTTAAATTATATAGTAAGCACATGTGCTCATTTACAAGGGTTAATTTTCTGCTATTTTCTTTTACATTTTAACACATTCTTGGAAAAGGTAATTGCCTATATGCTATAATCATGAACCTACCACCTATCTGAATATTCTACCAAATTGTAGGTGTTGAAGATTACTTTTCCTAGCTTGCATTAAAAATATGCTTAGTACTTTCACCTCTCAGTGTCAGGTGAATTATTTTGGAAGCTTCCACTAACTCTTTTGGTCTGCAGAAGGTTCAACTGAAAAGGTCTTAGCTCACCCAGGTCAATGCTCCTATTTCTATATCAGGAAAGGAAAGCCTGTGGACTTCAAGTGACCTGGGCACAGGCCTGCAGCTGGCTGTGGCCCGAATAAGATCAAAACCAGAGATTCTTTGTTCTTTTCATTACTTTATACTATTAAAACTATGTCTGACATAGTTAAATTAGGGTTCTAAATAACTCCCAAACCAAGACTTGCTCTAGGCTAGGGGAATAAGGAAAGGCTGAAACACTGCTCATGAAGAAGGTAGAGCACCATAACTAGATCAACGATACAGTACAATTGCTCCAAACTGAACCAACGTAGCATTGTCCCAATTTACCCTCCTGTCTCCAGTTCCTGACAAATACATGAAACCTTCCTACTGGCAAAATAATATTCTGAAATTTACATTGTCATCAGGTTATTTTCCTGCCTAAGAATCTATGTCTCCTCATGGAATTTCACAGAGTCTTAATCCCTCCATATGGCGTTTAGTCGCCCTGTAAAGGTCCTCCTGCTCTCTATCTGACCCCACATCTTACTTCTCTGTAATAGCAGCCCAACATCAACAGGAAAGTAAAGAGCACTGAAATATTAGGCCTTTCATCTTATATACAGACTTTTAAGATATTTTTATTGAGCAAGTGCTAATCAGCCACAAGGCTTTGCTCATGATGTTCCCCTTTCTAGATTCCCAGGCTGATATCTGGGTAATTGTTGCTAACAACTTCTTAGATTACTTGGCAACGATTTTCTTCTCTTTTTCCAGGAGGTGTGTACTGCCCAGTGATTCACCTTTTTCTTAACATTCTAAGTATAGTAAGCACTTCATTGCCAAAATGAGGATCATTTCTGGCATCTGTCCCACAGAAGAGATATTTAATAATTGTTCATTTGTTTTAGCCAGTATCTCTACAATGACACGAACCTCCTATTTTAGCAAAATAGCAACTATTATGGCATTGAATTTGCTTACACTAAATATAAATGCAATTCACAGTACTATATCTGAAGCAAGTCATCTTTTATCCTGTGCCTTGCTGGAATAAACTCAATTCATCATTCTGAAATTCAACTAAGGGTTATGATCCCCTTTGCCCTGTGGAGTCAGCAATGAATTAAAATGTTAAAATATTGCATGAGACTCATATTCATCCAAATACACTTAAAGTAAACCAAATCCCCTTACATAAAAATCTTTTTTAGCACTAATCACATCAACTTTCTTAATTTGAGTATACTGGCCTTAGGTTCAAAAGGTCAGCATGAAAGGGCAAAAGAGAGGCATTCTTTTTTCTTGCTAGAGTATACTTTTGAAAGTTAAACCAAGTTCTCTCTGTATTTTGTAGAAGAAAGAAAACAAATAAATTTTCCCCAATGGGAGCAATCAGGAGCATTTTTAGCTTTTCGTCTTATCCACTTTTAAGCACATATTTACTGAGCAACTGCTACAGATGCAGCACAAGGCTATGTTCTGGGGGATATGAAGGTTAATGCTATGAGCTGTTCTCTTTAGGGGCTTACAGCCTATTGTGTCTGTTCAGTTTATAAAACAAACAAGCACACATACATACACAAATGCAGTTGAACAGGATAGGTACTCTGACAGAAGAAAGTGAAAATAAAGTATTATGAGAGGATAAAGCAGGTGTCTAAATCTGCCTGTGGGATTCCAACAGATTGCACAAAGTCAGTGACATTTAATCTAGGTTTGCAAAGATGCATGTGGTGGGAACAAAAGGGGAAGGACATTCCAGAGAGAGGGAATAGTGTGTTCAAAGGCATGTCTGTAAAACACTGACTACAGTATTTAGGAAGTGACTGCATTAAAATGTGGTCTAAAACCTTGACACTGCTGCTATTGTGTCTCTAGACATGGGAGAAACACTCTATAGCACTGGGAATGGAAATGAGGGGAGAGACCTACACTAGAGGTCGTGTTAGATAGAACTTGGGGATTAACTGAACATGGAGGTGAGGCAGCAGTGAGAGATGAAGGTTAACTAGCTGAAAGATGATGATTTTTTAAATAGAAAATATGTTCTTGATCACTAGGAACTTCCTATTAATCACAGGTAGGAGAAACTTCAGGTGAGTGGCTCTGAGCCCAAATCATGAAGGGCCTTGTAGAGTGAAGACAGAGAGG